CATTCTTCTCCCCTGAAAAATCATTTACTCTTCCTCTAACATTGTCTACATCCACACTTTTTTCTACCCTATGAAGAGGGTACTTAATATTCAACCATCTATTCTTTCTTGGAGTTTGATACTTTATGTGACTCCATTGTGTTTGAACATTAATACATTTGTACATGTTTTCTTTTGTTAATCTATCAAGAGTTTGTTTCATAGACTCAAATTACTGAAATTCACAGTGGAGGCAAAGTTTCTTTCATCCTTATACTGCATAGGTAGAAAATCTAAATCTTGAGTGGTTATGACAAAAGCATATCATTTTAAAAATGTATCAGACATGTTTAATGATATTGCTTGTATGAAAATACGAGAACTATTTATTTAAGAATTTTTTAAGAATTATTTATTCAACTTTTATTATTTTTAAAATTTTGCTATAGGGCACATGCACTCATGGGGGATGGGGGGAGAGGAAGCAAGCTACCAGGTCCAGGACTCAAACTGTTGTCGGTCATGTAGGAGTCCAATGCCCCAATAATCATGCCACCTGCTGGACTTTCTCCTTAGCATTTACCACTTGCAGCTGGGTAGTTGGAAAAGCCATGCTGTATTTTTCTGGGGTTTTTTTAATGCAAAAATGCACCATGACTTTTCTGAAACCCAATAAATTACCATAAAATGTACCTATCTATTTGATATGCTTCTTGTCCAGTTCTTCCCCTGGACTGCAAGCTCCAAGAGGGCAGAGATTTTTGTCTAATTCACTAGTGTATCCTCATACTTCATACAGTACCTGCCACATATATGTGCTCAGCAGCTCCTTTGATAACACTTGTGTACTGATTTCACTCACTGAAAATCTATCTCCCTCTCTAAGCTATAAGCTCCATGAGCACAGATTTCCACACCTATTTTGTCCACCACTATGTTACCCGTGACCAGTACTGTGCCTCACACATAGGCATTCAGTAAAAACTGTTGCATAAATAAATATCTAAATTGTATGAGAGGTGAGATTGTCAACATCCATGTCAATCCTTAACATTTGTAATTCTCTTACAGTCTGTCTAAAGACAGAATGGCTACTATACTTACAGATTGGCCCAGGTCTACTGTCATAGATATAGCATTCATAATTACTGAGAAATCAAGGATGATAACCCTTGAGTTCTTTCTTTTTTTTTCTTTTTTTGGAGAGGTTTTTTGCAATAGGGTGTGTGCACTCGCCAGAAAGACAGAGACAGAGACAGAAAGTGAGAAATCACCCCTCCCCCCAGGGGGGATGGCCATGCTGCATCCCTTCTCTTCCATTCTCCTCTCAGGATCATGGGCACGCACGCACAGGCACCGGCATGAGTTTAAGTCACCGGGGTCCAGGACTCAAACCACAGTCAATTAGATGGGAGTCCAGTGACATAGCCATTACGCTAACTGCTGGTCCCACCTTTGAGTTCTTTCAATATTAAATATTTATTAAATGTTTCCTATATCCCAATCCCCAGGTTAGATGCTTGAAAACAGAGCAATGAAAAAGAGACACTTAAACCAAAGTCAACAAAGAACTTACATTTGAATGGAGAGACAAACAATATACACACACCCCCATACACACACACACACACACACACACACACACACACACACAGAGGGCCAGCCCAGTCATTGAGGGAACCAGAGTTCACATGGCTGAAAGTGATTCAAATCTTGCTACCAGAAGCTTCGAAAACATACCAGGCACATGTACACACTTGTCCCAAATCCTGACAGGATGAAAAAAATGGAGAAGGGACTGTAGCATGATCATCCCCCTTTGCAGCGAAGAGGGGGATTTTTCCCTCTCTTTCTTCCTCTGAAGAATACACACATGCTTTGGCAATTAGAAAAAAAGGAAAACAAGTATAAAAAAAATATACAAACCGACCTGTGAACCTGCATTGGATAGGAATAGTCAGGCTAAAGGGGTAACAAAGAAGCTGAAAGAAGAGAAAGAGCCAGGTACTGAAAAGCTAGGGGAAGAACGTTTCAGACAAAGAATTCAGCAAGTATACAGCATGTGGGATGAGAAATAGAATCTGTTTTTGAAACGTCCGGCGAGCAAAGTGAGTGAAATGAGAGGAAGGCAGGGTCAGATCCTGAGACCTTGGAGGGAATCAGAAAGCTATAGTTACCTTAGAAAAAAATGTATTCTAAAGGAAATGGTAAGCAATGGGAGATTTTAGAAATGAGTAGGTGACTTACGTATGAAGATCAATCTGACTGACATGTGAAAGATTTAAGACAGTAGCTGCAGGGGAAATGTGAGATGGTGGTGGTTTGAACTGGATTGCTAAACAATTTCAATATAAATGCCCACTGTAATCTGCTCTCCTTGGCCAGTTGTTGGTTCTCCTCTTTCCTAGCCCATCAGCAGGATTTGTCACAATTATTCCTTCCTCCTTGAAGCACCTTCTCTCTCTGCTTCCAGTATTCCAGGTACTTACCAGTTTTCCTCCTACCTCCTTGACTATTCTTTCTTGGTCTCTGCTGCTTTCTTATCACCAGTAATTGTCAGTGTTGGAGTATCTATTAATAGACCTTAGTTCTTAGTCCTTCCTCTTCTCCAATAGCTAACTCCCTTAGCTATTCTACCAGGTGTCATGTCAATATCACTAATAAGCCAATGCTCTCCAAGTGCGCATCTTCTCTGACCTCCAGATTCAAATGTCCTTTTACCTAGATAATGGCTCTGCCTGGATGTTAAATTATATCACAATTTAACGAAAATTAATTTTTTTTAATAATTATTTATTTATTTTTAATTTGACCAGAGAGAGAGAGTTTGGGAAAATGAGAAAACAAGATGCCAAGTCCAGGACTTAAACCAGTCAACTATGCGGGAGTCCAGCACCTTAACTACCACACTACCTGCTACCCCACAAAAATTATTTTTTTTAATTACCAGAGGGTTCATGTGCTGGCCAGAGAGAGAAGGAGAGATAGGAGTTGAACCCCATTTACAGGTGGACAGAGCAGCCCCCCACCTCCCGTAGGACCACTGCTATGACTCCTGACAATTCCTCTTCTCCCAGGCACCATATTCCTTTGACCTTAGACATGTAAGTCTTGTTCTTGAATAATATAGGTTCAAAGCTTCTAGACAAAAAATGTCCTTTGTACCCACTCCAAAATTAGGAGAATAAATGGACCCATCTGGCATGTACCACTCCCCACCAGGAGGGCAATGCATACCTAAACCCCACCTAGAACAAGTGTGGACAAAGTCCTTCCTGATCCAAATAAAAACCTCTTGCCACAGCTCTTCCTGGGCAACCCATTTTCTGGGACCCCTTCCTTCTTGGGAGATCTGTTTTTCCATCCCTCTCCTTCAATATACTCCGCACTTTGCTATTGCTCCTTTCTGCATCCGTATCTCTAATTCTTCTTGAGCATGGGACAAGAACATGTGTCTCACTGCGAGTGTGAGCCTGATCACCCCTCACCCCCACGTTCCTGTGTCAACAGGGCATGATCACACCACAATCCCTTCTTCTCCATTTCTCATCCTCTGGGTGCTCTAAGCACACATGTGAACTGTGGTTGGCCATGTGGGATTCAACTCCCTTAAGCACTAAACTATGGGGTGGGCCCTAACATTGAATTCTTGATCTTCCTCCCTCCTGCCTGATATCTGCTCTTCCCACACTCAGAGTCCTACCCCAACTCCCCTTATTAATTTCTTCACAGCCTATACTTTGCATAGAAATCCTCATAGCTTGCTCCCATACCTCTTTCTCATTTTTCTCAAGACCACTTTTCATCATCTTTTTTTTCGTATTGCTCATCCTATATCTTCATCCCCTGCTCCATTTTTCTCCCTAGCATTTATCTCCTTATAAAATTACTTATTTTAGTGGCTATCTCTACTCACAAAAATATGTGCTTTATGCAGATAGAAATTTTTTTATTTTCATATAAAAACTTTAATTTTTATATTTTCATATAAAAACTTTAATTTTTTATATCTTTTAACTTGATGTTTTCTTAGTTCCTAGAGCAATGTCTGGTATACCGTAGGTGTTCAATGAATACATGAATGAATAAAAAATATAAGTTAAAAACTATTCATAATAAACACATAAAAAAATAAGATAAAGGGGCGGGCAGGTGACATGGTGGTTAAGGGTACTGGACTCCCACATGGCCTACCACAATTCGAGTCCCGGATCTAAAGGCTTTCTTTCATACTTTCCCCCTCTCTCTTGCTCTGTCCCTCTCTGGTCAAATTAAAAATAAACAAATAAAGTTAAATAATTCTCTAAAAAAAGTAAGGTAAAACTATTCATTATTCTAGTATTCTTTGCCACATATCCACATTTATAGCTGTTGAGTTGCACTATATTTAACCAGGGAAGAAAGACAGTAACATACACAGAAAGAACGTTAAAAACAGGTAGCTTCCAGTGTGTAGTAATAACATGGTGATAGAACCACCCCCTACAGGCAAACAGATGTGCAGAATGAGTCCCAAAATTAAGAAAAAGTCATTGTAATTCTAGTATTAAAAGGAATTAAAGTGTACATATCCACAAGATGACGTACTCCATGGTTTCAGGAACTTCTTCAAGAACCTAAGCTACCTCTAAGTTATTCTTTCTTTCTCTACATACAAAATTTGAGATGGTGGTGGTTCCCGTGTGTAGCCACCACATGGAAAGCTGTGAGATCCTGGGAGAATCAAAAACGTACTGGCACGGAGTAGCAACTAGGAGACAGAACAAATGGAGAGTTGTGAAACATTCTGTGTTGATTTTTTTGTGTGTTGATTTTTATTTTGACCTGGAGCAGGAAGCCAAGATATAGCATCTACCAGGAATTCAGGGTTGTAATAGTGACGAATCTCCACTTCTTAGGCTTTATCTGGAGGCCCTGCTGTCGGCCACGGACCACCACCTGCCTCTGAGGGCATCTCCTCCTCTGGCGGACAGTGGCCCGTCACCGGCCGGCGCCCTCCCCAGCGCCCTGCCTCCGCTTACCAACGCCGGCGGAATTCGTGCTTCTGTTTCTCCGTGGTGGCTAAAGCCTTCTTCTTCTTCATAAAACCTAGCAACTCCCGGATCTCCTTCTCGCAGGAGGCCAGGAGCGGGTTTCTAGCGTCGACCGGCCCATAAAATACAGCGAGGGGCAACAAGTCCTCGGGGCAGGTCGACGGGTGCAGTAGGCTTGGGGAGCTTGGCTTCGAGTCAAGGGGCGACTTCGAAACCGCTGTCGAAGTCGGGGGCGGTGTTGGTGGCAATTCTGACGGCGTGACGGATAAAGGAGACACATCGGAAAGAGAGCTCGAGAGAGCGCCGTGTGCCGCCATATTGACGCGACCTGGCCGGCCTGGGCTGTGTGTACACGCGGTTGCCTGGCGACGGTCTCGCGGCAACCTAGCATCCAGCGCGCCTTCCGGGATGCACAGCGGCCCCTGGAGGGCAGAGGAGGATAAAACCGGGTCAGAAAGATTTTTTGCCCCGTTGCCCACTGGCACGGTTGTATGAAATGAAACTGAAGAAAGAGTTCCGAATCAGAGAGCCAGTGAATATTGGAGCCAAAATAGGATGTGCAAAAATCAAGACTGTTCTTTTTTTTTTTTTTCGTTTGGACCACTTAATAATGATGATGAGAATCGTTAACAGAGATTAACCATTGTTTTAAATATTTGAAACATCATTTCACTTATCTCATTTAACCATGATAACAACTTTACAACTTAGGATACTATTAGTATCTCCAATTCAAAATTTTGGAAACCGAACTTTAGGGATATTAAGTCATTTAACTCAGGTTAACTCTACTCTAAACAGTAGTGTCAGGGACCAGACAAGTCCTGCCCTTATAACTATAAAATCTCTACTCAGAACGAACAGGCTGTATTGATCACTCTCCAAAGTAAATCTTATAAATCAAATAGAAATTAGGAAAATATCTAATAAGCCATTTAAGAGTCAGGTACATGTAACCTACTCGTTCTCTTTCCTCTCATTATAACTTGAGATCTATAAGTTGGAATATTGACTGTGTCTCTCATAATTATATTTATTTATTCATATCTCAGCCTTATTACTAGTTTCTAAATTAATGTGCATTTTACTCAACCTTGACTACTGAACATTAATATATACTAATAGCAGGACCAGAGTTGGCATAATGGCTATGTTGCTGGACTCCCATGTAGTCAGCCATGGTTCGAGTCCCAGACCCGGTGGCTTAAATTCACACCAGACGCATGTGCATGTGTGCCCAAGATCCCAAGAGGAGAATGGAGGAGAAGGGATTGCAGTGTGGCCTCCCCGCCCCACCGGGGGGTGACTTCTCATTCAGTCTGTCTCTATCTTTCTGGCGAGTGCATGTACTCTACAGCAAAAAAACTCTCAAAAATATATACAAATATATATATACTAATGGCTTGAAGTGTTCACTCTCAAAATACTTCTGCATTTGAAACAAGGATTTTAGAAAATGTTATTTCTGATGGGTAAATTACAGATCTCAAGGGAAATACTTGGTAAGAAGGGAAATTTTTCTTTCCCTGCATATTATGAGAAACCATGAGAGTCAAATTTATTCATTTAAAGTCTGCGTTTCTTACTTGCTCTCCCTATAATTTATACAATGTCAGAAATAATCTAAGAGAAGAACCAGAATTATGTGATGTCTAGAAAAATAGATCATTAACATTGGAAACTGTTACCAATTCTGTCACACTTATAAATAAAGACAATGACCCTAACACCCTATGAGCCCAATTTCCACTTAAGTTTAAGAAGCTTATCAGACCACAGCCTGATTTCTTCCAGATCTGACCTAATTTCTCACAAGCTTTGTAAGCCTGTCTTAATTTGCAAGCTGGTCCATCACGCCATGTATACTGTACCCTAATATTCTTTGAAGGAAGATGATGATTATTTTGCTCATTGGGGCAGGGAGTTGTGGCCAGTGAACCTTCCTGGCCAGCAGCAAAATGTAAGACTCTTCACTGTCACAGTCCAATTCTCCAGTAGGCATGTCGATATTATCCTTTGATCAACAAAGATTTTTGTCTTGTCTCTAAGTAAGCAATAAAATTTTAAGACTTTAAAGAAATTAGGCCAAGAGAAACAATTCATCTTTGGGACATTTACAAAAAAAAAAAAATTAATAAATTTTCTTTTCAAATCAATTTGGTAAATTATCTCTTCTCATCTTTCACTTGCACTCACCTTGTTCCCCTCGGATCAAAAGCTAGTGTAATTTGCCACTGAGTACTACGTATAATATTGATGAAAGTGAAATAGCAGGATAGAGTTGAAGTGGTCAGAGAGGAGGAAAGAAACAAAAAAAATCAAATTTATGAAGTGGATTTTTTTCCCCCAGTTTCTGCCTGCTCTCACAGACAACCTCTTTACAAGTGCATACACTTACATTTCAAAGTCATTGTAGAAGAAAATGTGACTAATTAAATTCAAATACTTGAGTTACGAAACATCACATCCTAGTCATCTTCCTCCTTGCAGGTACTAAAGTTAACAATGCTTAACTTGCAGTAGTTTTCAGAAGCTAGTCTGCATATTTAAATGGGTGTTAAATTCTGAATCATCATCATGATAAGATAGAAGTTTCCATTTTCTTCCGTTTAAATTAAATTTGAGGCTTTTTTTTTTACCATTTTAGAGGCGTTATTTGTCTTATAATGAGATGCAGCCATTATAATATCTTTTCTATTTCCTTGTCACTTTGCTTTATTCCTTTCACTATAATGAAAGAATAGAACTGTGCAGCTATTGTGTCTGACAGGGCTAAGTAATGTAAATAGCTTCCTTATAAATAATGTAAATTGCTGTTTCCTTATAATTAATGTCTTTACAGACTGCAGGGATCTTTTTTGCCCATTCAAAAGTGCTTTTTTTTTTTTTTTTATCTAAAGTTACTGTTACAGAAAAAATAAGTAAAGCTAGTGCTCATTATAGTCCCGATTTAATTGTAATTTGGTAAATTATCTCTTCTCATCTTTCACTTGCACTCACCTTGTTCCCCTCGGATCAAAAGCTAGTGTAATTTGCCACTGAGTACTACGTATAATATTGATGAAAGTGAAATAGCAGGATAGAGTTGAAGTGGTCAGAGAGGAGGAAAGAAACAAAAAAAATCAAATTTATGAAGTGGATTTTTTTCCCCCAGTTTCTGCCTGCTCTCACAGACAACCTCTTTACAAGTGCATACACTTACATTTCAAAGTCATTGTAGAAGAAAATGTGACTAATTAAATTCAAATACTTGAGTTACGAAACATCACATCCTAGTCATCTTCCTCCTTGCAGGTACTAAAGTTAACAATGCTTAACTTGCAGTAGTTTTCAGAAGCTAGTCTGCATATTTAAATGGGTGTTAAATTCTGAATCATCATCATGATAAGATAGAAGTTTCCATTTTCTTCCGTTTAAATTAAATTTGAGGCTTTTTTTTTTACCATTTTAGAGGCGTTATTTGTCTTATAATGAGATGCAGCCATTATAATATCTTTTCTATTTCCTTGTCACTTTGCTTTATTCCTTTCACTATAATGAAAGAATAGAACTGTGCAGCTATTGTGTCTGACAGGGCTAAGTAATGTAAATAGCTTCCTTATAAATAATGTAAATTGCTGTTTCCTTATAATTAATGTCTTTACAGACTGCAGGGATCTTTTTTGCCCATTCAAAAGTGCTTTTTTTTTTTTTTTATCTAAAGTTACTGTTACAGAAAAAATAAGTAAAGCTAGTGCTCATTATAGTCCCGATTTAATTGTTAATCATTTGGCCTGTCCCAGATAGATAGATATAGATGGTCTTTAAAAATAAAAAATTCTCCCCTTGCCACTTCACCACCAAGAGTCATGATTTTTTAAAAATTTCTTCATCCATTCATTCAGCTAAATGCAACTATTTCTTTAGTGTATCCATATACTACAGAGATGAACCCCACTTCCCCTACCAGAAGTAGGTGTTGCATACAACAGCTAACTGTGATAAAAGGGCCATACTGTGGAATGTGCTGTGATAAAAGTTTTAAAAATGTTCTAAGAATCCCATAATGAATCTTGGGACTGGAGAGAGAACAAAGGAATCTAGAGGAGGTGGTGTGTTAGCCCTGCACTGTAACTGCCCATCATTGACCAAAAGAACCATACCACAGGGACTTGCCTATTACTGTGGTAACTGAGCACCCAAGCCTGGCATAGAGTCCAACTCAGTAAGTCTTTGTTAGAATGAGTGAATGAAAGGGGGGAAAAAAAAAAAAAGATGAAGAACATTCAGAAGGAAATTCCTGACTGAGAAAGAAGCCTGGGTAAGGTACGAAGTCATAAACACACTCAGGAAGTTTAAATAAACAAGTGTTCTGGTACAGTGAGCTACAGACTGCGACAAATCAAGAGGCAGAAGATGAGGTGGAAACAGAAGCATGATCAAAGAAGTGGGCAGCTGGAAGGTGCAATAAGAAATGTGGGGCTGGTTCAGTATTCAGCAGAAAGCCTTGAGGAGAAAAACAATATCGTGCAGAGGTCAAGAGCCCAAATTTTGGGGCAGAGAGCGAGGTTTGAATCCCCAATTTTTCCAAGTTACTTAAAATTATTGTGCCTTGCTTTATTGTTTTTTTTTAATTATTATTTATTTAATTTAATTTGTTGTTTTTTCTTTTCTTTCTTTTTTTTTTTTTTTTTTTTGAAAAATTTTTTTTTTTGGGCGGCGTT